GTATATTGAATATATTGAATATATTGTGTATATATATATATATATTATATATATATATATAATGTATATATATACGTATATATGTTGAAGTAAATAAAGGAAGAAAGAAAATGAGATTACAAATTATTTATTGATCGAAAAGTTTTTAACTCTGATTTCATTAACTTGTAGATGGGTCTGAAAAATTTAGCGCAGCCGTTATGGTCATAAATTTAATCGTTCGTCCTATCTCGAGTATATATCTGTTGAGAATAGGCCAAGAGAGAAATGGCAACTTAGCTACAGTATTTGCACCAAGTCCTGCCATGGGTCAGTAAATCACTGGCTACACGTCACTTTTGTAGTACGCTTCAAGATCTGATTTTAAGTATGTGCACGTATGCTTTATTGCAAACTGCAGTTATTTTATACGTTATTAATAACCAACGATTTTTAGTTACTTAGGCATCTGTGTATCCAGTTATGGCACTTTGTTAAGACTGCTTTTTGCTTGAATTTATGTTGCATGAAAGTATAATGTGCTGCAACAGATCTTTTTAATGATTGTAAATAAAATTAGACTACATATATATTAATTACGTTACTTTGTTTAAATTCTTTATAGGTTACGGCAGGCAAGAGTACGAAGAAATTTCTCATCCCGTCCCACAAAACTCCGATTTCGAGGGAGTTTAAGATTGAATGAAGTTTGTTTGAAAATTTTTTTTTTATTCTGTTTTAATCCTGCTGGTCTGTTAAAATTTACTATGCAAATCATATGGGTCAATATGATTAAAAGTTCTAAAAAATAAAAAACATTTACAGAAAAAAAGATCTTGCATTAGAGATGAAATCATTAAATACTAAAGAAAAAAGATTTTAAGTAGAATATTAGTAAGAAATTAAATTACATTGCGAGTCAAATAAATTCAAATAGACCACCAGAGTTAAATCCATATAATATATACATGTTTGTGACATAATATTTTAGATTATAATTTTGTAAAATTATTTATTAATGCTATATTAGTATTAATGAATAAGTGTTTAAATATATAAATTGCTTTATATAACGTTTTGTTAAAAGCTTCTTTACAAAATTAAAGATTATATATTTTTATTTATAACTGTTAATTTTCTATTTTTTAATTGAATTTTATGCAATATGTTAAGATATATAAACAATCTAGTAAAATATAAAAATATAATTTATATAATCATATTTAAATATACGATAT